CAGATCTGATTCAGCAGGCCTGGATCGCGGTCATATGGCATAATCTGGGGCTGTCAGAGTTGGGGACTCTGGTGTGAAGCAATGGGAGCAGAGGTGTAGGTGTCCTGTGTTCATCTTCCTCTCCCCATTGCAACATGTTTGATTTGTGTTTAAAACCCTGATTAAACATCCATGGCCTAGGACCCTTGTACCTACGGGACCGCCTCTCCCGATATGCCCCACAGAGGACCTTAAGGTCCATAAATAGCAACACCCTAGAGATCCCGGGCCCTAAGGAAGTCAGAGCCAGGGCCTTTTCAACACTGGCTCCAGCCTGGTGGAATGCTCTGTCTCATGAGACCAGGGCCCTGCAGGATCTGATTTCTTTCCACAGGGCCTGTAAGACAGAGTTGTTCCGCCCGGCCTTCAGCTTGGAATCAATATCACCCCCCCCCCTTCATTTTTCCTTTCTCGTGGAGTGTTGGAACTCCTATTTGGGGACTTCCCTGGCTTTTTTCTGGCCCATGTAGGACCAGTCTGGAAAGTTAGCCTTGGTGTAGACTGGACGTTTTCATCTCCCCGAAAAGTTTTTGATTTGAGTTTCCATTGAAATGATGCTGTATTTTAATATCTTAATGTTTTAATGTTGTGTTTTAATCTTGTTTTTAAGTTGTATTTCAATTAATTTGTTTTTATATCGGGTGTTAGCTGCCCTGAGCTGGGAAGGGCAGGGTATAAATTATTATTATTATTATTATTATTATTATTATTATTATTATTCAGTAAGAGTGGTGAGAGAAGGAGATTAAACACCCGGAAGAACTTTCTGACAGTAAGAGCTGTTAGACAGTGGAGCGGATTTCCTCGGAAAGTAGTGGACTCTCCTTCATTGGAGGTTTCTAAGCAGAGGCTACATGATCTTCTATTTCTGTATTGCAGGGGGTTGGACTAGATGACCCTCAGGGTCCCTGCCGACTCTACAGTTCTTCGATTCTTTTGCATGCATAGGAGACTCTGCAACTGAACTCCCTCCGCCTTCCCGTAGCTTTAATTTCAAAGTTCCTTTCCTGATTTCCCACTTTTTAATTTTGTGCTATGACCTTCCCAGAGTCTTAAGGATATGGCAATATTGAAAAAGAAAACCCTACATAACAATAATAATCATAAATACAAAACAGGCAGAAGGAATAACTCTCTCGATTAAGCACCTGCGCGCAGGACCGAGCTAATACCGAGTTCTTTATGTTCCCCTGCTATGAGTCGGGTTTTAATTGAACACAAAATCCAAAAGGTCAAATTCATGTAAAATTTAAAGGCCATTTTTATTATTTGACATGGAACAAATTGTAACTTTATATCGCCTTTAGATGCAATTCTGTTTGATGAAATTAGATTAAGCTAAAATCAAACACGCCCTTTTAAGGCATTCGGATGAAATGTTAAGACCGTATTGCGCCAAAGCAATGGCGGAAGCTTTGCGTCCCCCGGTTTCCTCCATAAATATCAAGGAAAATATTGGGCAGAAAGTACATTTCCCTCATTTGCATTAATACAAATGAGAACTATTAAGTTTAGCTGATTAGCATATTCATATGTATGCTAGGTGCCACATATTCAAAATAGTCTCTGATTACAGGCCTGAAGTATTGCATTTAAAAGCGGAACCTTTCAAACTCCAAATGCGCCTCTCATTATATTTCAGAACAGAACATAAATGGAAACAATTTAGAAACTGAAGACCTGGTAGATCCAATCTCTCCCCCCCCCCTTTAATTTGCACAAAGCACACAATTGAGGGAATTTTTAAAGAAAAGAGGTAAACATAGACAAATTTAAGCAACAGAAGGAACTGGCTGTTCATTTCCCTCTTTAATTAGAATGATGTTGGTTCATCGACTGCAAATTTAAGGTAACATGGTCCACAAATGTTGATGCGATGTTGATGCAATGGCTCAAGGAGTTAAGGGGAAGGGCAGTATCTCAGTGTTAGGACACCTGTTTTGGATGCAGAAGCTCCCAGATGCAATCAACAGCATCTCCACACAGGGTGTAGAGAGGACCTGTCTGAGATCCTGGAGAGCTGCTGCCAGTCAAATGTAGGAAGCACTGAACTGGGTGGACCATTGGTCTGACTCGGGGTGCAAGAAGACCTTGATTTCCATTCTGCCCTATGTTCATCACCTGCAGAACTGTTTCTGTGTGGCTGCAGTTCAGTTTTCGAGAAACTTCTCCAACATTCCAAGCACTGGTAGGAAAGGTCATATTTATTAATGTAACAATAGGAAGAACTGTTGGGGTTTTTGACTACGTGCTATTTGAGGCAGCTTCCCACAGAAGCAATTAAGGAGTTGGCTGTAGGCCAAGAAGACTGAGCAGAGGGAGTTATTCTGCCTAGAGATATGGGACCTTGGATACAACTCTGCTATTGGTCAAGGTTACGCACATAGGCATGATGACGCATGACCTTCCTTGTTGGTTAGTCGGTTGGTCAGTGTGTGCTCTGAGAGTTCATTGGAGTTTGTTCATTGAGAGAGTTAAGATCCGTGTCTGTATCCTGTATATAGTAACTTGTGAGTCTGCTGTAAATAATAAACCTATAAAGAACCAAGTTACTGGTAGCAGTGTCTTGTTCCTGCTTCATCCTGCCTGCAACTGACTGCTTCTGGGCAGTCTGCGTATGCTCTGCTATATTCAACAGGTTCTGGCTAAGATCCTTCAACAAGAGCTGCAGAAGCAACTAAGTGAATTCAGAAAGCAAAGGCAGAAAATGATTTTTTGTTTCTAATTCTGAAGGGGAAGCATCCTTCCAGTCATCTAGGCATGAAAATAGCTGTGTTCTGTAGCTTCCTTGATCAAGGATTGGAAGAAAATTACTCCCTCCATGCTAGGTGAGCCTTGGACATGTGAACCCCATGGACGCAGAAAGGCCGCATTGTACAGAATTCACCACATTGTGCATGTGAGGCCTATAGAGCATCCCACCCAGGTCCACCATGTCTAAAGGAACAGCAGGTACCTGGAGGGTGCCCATAACCCAATAATTTGTTATGATACTTAATGTTTAGTTCCTAACCTCCTCACCTGTCTGTGCTGAATGTCAAAGAAACAGACCAAACCTCTTCCAGAAGCCAATCAAAATAGCAATACCACTGTACAAAGCAGGGGTTGAGGCAAACACCCCCCACCCGCCCCTCAAATAAAGAGCAGGAGTGACATACAGATGACAATTGTATTCCCTCAAATGCCTGGAAGAAGAGCTACATGTTAACCTGCAGGACATGCATGGAATCAAGCACAAAATGTGTGGTGTTATTGCAGCTCAGCCCTCTTCAGAAGGAAGGGGTTAACCCCACGAGTATGGTGTCTTAAAAATAAACTCAAATTACTGAGTACAGTAAAGAAGTCTATTTCCAGTTGTGTCAAACAGCTGACTCTGTGTCTATGCACACTTCAATTACAGGAACTAGAAAGCGCCTGTTGTTCACATTATTTTGGGGAACCAAGGAATTTTCCTGCCAAAGAACTGAGAGAGATGGATGCGGTTATGGACCAACTGTTCTGTGCAGCTGTCTATTGAAGTCCAGCACATACACCCTGCAATTAATGTGTGTGGGTACATTGCAGTGCATTAAAGAACGCTAACCAAGAGAAGCACAGTTGTGTAAGGTTGCCAAAGGGAGCGATACTTCTGTAAGAGATCTGGCTGATGGCTCAATTTGCAACCCCATTAAAATGGGGTGATGATGAGGCCAATGATCCTTTTCCCTGTCCATGTCTTGGAGTTATATATATATATATATATTTAATGACATCTTTAAGACGACTCACATGTGAAGTTGTTAATATTTTAACTAATATACATGATGCGCTCTTTTCTATATTTGCACAGCTTGCTATGCACAACTTGACATTGACCAAACATTGATTTTGCATTGACTGCTTTCTGATCATGTCAACAGCTGTTCGATTTTAGCAACCAATCAAAAAGTAGCCAATGTAAAGCCAGTGCTTTCTCAATGCCAAGTGGTGCAATGCAGGCTGAGCAAATATCTTAAAGACCATCTTTTCCCCCACAGTCCACCTCAGTATGTTAAGATCAATGACAATAGTTCTACCACCCTAAGAGGTATAGGATGGTGGCAACCTGGGAAAGGGCATTTTCTGTCCCAACCCCAACTTGTGGAATTCCCTCATAAGGGCATAAGAAGAGCTTGCTGGATCAAGTCAAGGGGAGCCATCTAGTCAAGCATCATGTTTTCACAGGTGCCAACCAGGTGCCTGTGGGAAACCCAGAAGCAAGACCAAAGCACAAGAGCAACTCTCCTCTCCTGTCATTTCCAGCAGCCAGCCGGAATTCAGAAGCATTGCTGTCTCCAGCTGTGGAGACAGAGCAGAGCCATTATGGCTCGTAGCCATCAATAGCCCTCTCCTCCATGCAAAGCCCTCTCCTTTCCAAGGAATTCATCTGGCATCTCCATGATGCAGCTCCCATCATGAAGACACACATCAAAGGCCTTTGAGACACGTGTTTCTGTGTGACTGTAACTTTATCATCTATACCTATATCATCTATCTATCTATCTATCTATCTATCTATCTATCTATCTATCATCTATCATCTATCTATCTATCATCATCTATCTATCTATTAATCTATCATCTATCATCTATCATCTATCATCTATCTATATATCTATATCTATCTATCATCTATCTATCATCTATCTATCATCTATCTATCTATCTATCTATCTATCTATCTATCTATCTATCTATCATCTATCTATCTAGATCATCTGTCTATCTATCTATCTATCTATCTATCTATCTATCTATCTATCTATCATCTATCTAGCTATCATCTATCTATCTATCATCCATCCATCCTACCCTACATAGAAACACAGGGAACTATGTTATTCTAAGTTGGACAATTGGCCCCATCTTCCTCAGTATTGTTTATACTGACAGGCAGTGGCTTTCCAGGACTTTAGACAGGCTTCTTTCCCAGCCCTACACAGAAATGCATTCAGGGATTGAACTTGGGACCTTCTGCATGCCCAGCAGATGCTCTACCACTGAATTAACATGCTTCCCCTGATAGTGACTGGCAGACTTTATTAAAGTCTGAGTGCACATTTTTGCTCCCCTTCCTGCTCCCCTGCCAATTCCTCCTGCCTTTGCAAGGCAACCCTTGATAGACGGTCTTCAGATGTTAAACTGGTTCTCAAGAACATACCTAGTCAGACCATTGGTCCATCTACCTCAGCATTGCCTACATGGGCTGCAAGCAGCTCTCTAGTGTTCCAGACATGGTTCTCTCCCAGTCTTAACTGGAGATGCTGGAAACTGAAACTGGGACCTTCTGCAAGCAAAGCAGATGCTCTACGACAGAGCTATGGCCTTTCCACACTGTGAAACTTTTTTTTAAAAAAAGCACCACACTACTCTTTCTTCTCCTCCAGGTTGTCTCATGCCGGAGAGTTCTGAAGATGTACATTTCTTGTTTAATGTTATTGGGAAGCTGCTGCATGTGAAGGATGTGAGTAAAGTTATCCATTATGTAAATAACTGTCAAGTGGTACATTACAGGCTGAGCAAACCTACCCGGCGTGTGATTAAGGCGGTGTGATTAAAGACATCAATGACTTTGTTGTACCTTTGTGTTAAAATGAAGGAGTTGAAGACGGGAGCTCCTTACATCATTTTAAGGGGCTTTTAGAGAGCATTTGCCAAGTCGACTCTCCTCTTCCTCTTCTTCCTCTCCTCCTCCTCTCTATCTCTCTCTTCCTTTTGACTTATATTTTTCTTTCTATGCGCAGATGCCTTGAATAGGAAGAGCAAACACCCCCGCCCTGCCGGGATCTCTTGAAAGGCATGTTTTCTTACCTTCCCACTTGCTGTGAGCTGGAAGGGGTGAAGGAGGGGTGATGCACACCTTAAAGCTTTCTAAAAAGGATTTTCAAAGCTCTGATTTATTTACTTCATCTCCCCCCTTTTTTTATCCATGGAACGGCAAATGGAAAGAATTTGTAGTGATCAAAGGAGCTGCGAAAGGGAGTGGGAGCCACAGGGCCAATTCAAGGCAATTGTTCTTGGGGTTGGAAGAGCTGGCCGTTGAAAGGTGGCTCGACAAATAAAGTGGATTGTCTCAAGCCATGTCTACTCCACAGATCTAAGCAGCCTTAAGTGTTGAGGCTTACCCCAGTGGAACTGTGGCTGCTGTGGTGCTGCAAAGGGTTCCATTTGCGTCCTGGGAAGCTATAAGAATATTTGAAGAATGCTGGAACGTTGAATGAAAGATCAACTGCAACACACACACACACACAGAGAGAGAGAGAGAGAGAGAGAGAGCACGCCAAATAGCAGCTTTGGAAGGTGCCCTGGGGATATGACATAAGAACATAAAAGAGACTTTTGGATCATGTCAATGTGTCAGGGATGAGGAAGAGTGGTGGGTGCTGCCTGCCCAAAAGCCAGAAGAAGAAGAAGAAGAAGAAGAAGAAGAAGAAGAAGAAGAAGAAGAAGAAGACTTAGACCCCAGATTGTGGTGGTGGGACACTGGGGAACTGACAAGTTGGGAGGTGTTAGAAGTCATCCAAGTCAATGGCCATCTACTGCCTTTTTTGAAGGCACGTTCCATAGTTTAACTATCCACTGCATGAAGAAGGATTGCTTTTAATCTGTCCTGAATCTTCCAACATTCAGCTTCAGACAACAGCTTGGAGTAAAAAAATTGGGCTGTGCAGAGCTGGTAAACAGGAAGGTTCAATCCCCTGGGATCTGCTTCTTCAGCACATTCCCTGGGCGGTCATGCCAGTGAAGCAGGCAACATTCCCAGCCAATACCTCACCTACCAAGAGCCCCAGATCACTCTTGGCACCCTGATCCAAGACAATCCAGGGCTGTCACCACCTGACTCAGCTGAAGCCCAGAACCTCTTCCCCATACCGATTCAGTTCAGGATTTAGGTTTTGACAGCTCTGGTGCAGAGCCTTAAAAAGATACCCCATCTAAATAAATAAATACCCCACCCCACCCCAAATCAGAATCATGGATGTCAGGGAACTGACATCGGAGCCAGAGGCGGAGGCAAGGCTCCCAAGTGATGGTGGAGAAGGGCCCAGCAGGGAGAGAGGCAGCTCATCAGCTGGGGAAGGAAATCAGCGTAACACCAGGGATAAAGGGGGGCAGATGGGGGAATCAGCGAGAAGGCTCCAGGACTCTTCACCGGACACCAGCGGGGAGAGCACTGGTCCCCCGCTACCCACTCCCACCCTGCGCAGAAGACTTCCGCGCAGAGAGAGTAGGAGGAGACTGGGTGTCAAACAACTTTTATGTTGGAAAAGATTTAAGAAACGCCCACTGACGGATTCTGCTAGCGACTGAGGCAGCCACGAAGTGAAGGGCTGCCCAGACTGAAAGGTTTAGCAAGGCAACAAAGCCTGGAGAGGCGGCAACTTACGCACGAGCAACACATACTCATTACAATAGTGTATAAGAAAAAATGTGAATTCTCCACCAGCACTCAACGTGGTCCCAGTCCTGAGTGAAATCTCCCCACCCTGGTAGCTGCTATTTAGAGTTATAATCATAATATAAAGATATGCTCAGCTTCAAGTGGCAGTCATTTAGCATCCTGCATAGTTGGGCCCTTTGTTAAAAGAGATCTGAAAGGAAATAGGAAGAGATTTGTCATGCATGGCTAACCAGAGAGAGCCTCTAAGCAAGCAAGGTTGGGAGCACCAAGAGTTCCCTCTTGCTTGCAATTATAGAATTGATAAGACTTTAATAGAAAGGAGCCCTGGCTGGTGTAAGCAAAGTAGTTCCATAATCAGGCTTTGTTGTAATTAAAATGATCAACAAATTGGCAACGGCACTAAGTGATTGGCGCAGGAAAAATGACCTAGGAAAAATCAGCAAGGCAAGACCATCCTAGGCATCCTAACCTGGGTCCTTTTGGAGGTGTTTTCTGAAAATTCCTGATGTAGATCACATAAGAACATGAGACGAGCCGTGCTGGATCAGGCCAATGTCCCTCCTTGTCCAGAATCCCGTTCTCACAGGGGTGAGCTAGATAACTTGAGGAAACCCATTAGTAGGATTTGAGTGAAAGAACACTCTCCCCTCCTGTGGTTTCCAGCAATTCACTAATTGGTATCACCATCAACATTAAAAGAGGCTTCATATTAGAGAAGATGTCCAAAAGAGGCACGGCAGGTACTTCTGATTTGGGAGGTTTTGGTGGTAACTTTCACATCTAACTTTCACATTTGGTGGTAACTTTCACTCAAAGCCTTCACATCTTGCTACTTTCACATCTAGCATCTTGGGTGTCATGGACTGGTTGACACAGATAAATGGTGGTAGGAATCAACTGGGGAACGCCCAAGGGAAGAAGGCTCAGAGCTTGCTGAGTGTTGGTGGGAAGTGGTCAGAAGGAGAAGAGGGAGAAGAATGGGAAGATGAAGATGTAACAGGGAGATGTCTGTGGCAAAGAGAAGTCCAGAAACAGGCAGAAGTTGAAAGAGGAAAGTGGAATGAGGGAACGCAAGAAGCAGAGATGAGTCTGGCTGGTGAAGAGTCACAGGTGTCTCACACTCCTGCTTTGACAAGCTCACTTGCCCCATTGTCTCCCAGAACCAGAAGAGGCATGAAAAGGGAGGAGGATTTGGCTGCACAAAGGTGCCGTCTTCGATTGCTTGGAAAAAGCCTTAGAAAGGGGACTTAGACGGCTGTGAGGAGGTAGGACTTTCAGTCTTGGCAACTGATTTTCACGAGGGAAGACAACCAAGAATGAGCTGCTCTGCACATTAGGCATGACACTCAAACAAGTCTGTGGAGATCATGTTTATGCTAATAGAATTAACTCCATCTTTGAACTGTGTGAATGCCTACCAGTTCTCTCCAGTGACATTGGGTTGCATTTATTCTTTGGGAGGTGTAGATAATTAATATACTACCTTGCCAACAAAGGTTCGTATAGTTAAAGCTATGGTTTTCCCAGTAGTGATGTATGGAAGTGAGAGCTGGACCATAAAGAAGGCTGATCACCGAAGAATTGATGCTTTTGAATTATGGTGCTGGAGGAGACTCTTGAGAGTCCCATGGACTGCAAGAAAATCAAACCTATCCATTCTGAAGGAAATCAGCCCTGAGTGCTCACTGGAAGGACAGATCCTGAAGCTGAGGCTCCAATACTTTGGCCACCTCATGAGAAGAGAAGACTCCCTGGAAAAGACCCTGATGTTGGGAAAGATGGAGGGCACTAGGAGAAGGGGACGACAGAGGACAAGATGGTTGGACAGTGTTTTCGAAGCTAGTAAAATGAGTTTGACCAAACTGTGGGAGGCAGTGGAAGACAGGAGTGCCTGGTGTGCTCTGGTCCATGGGGTCACGAAGAGTCGGACATGACTAAACGACTAAACAACAACACCCTTCGTTAAAAGGTTCTCAGTGGCTACTGCTCCTGATGGCTGTATTCTACAGCCTGCGGTGGACCTTGAGGTCTCAAATTTCAGTGGCCCTGTATGACGGCAAAACCCAGCACCCGCCTCTTGCCTTCCATTAGACTTAATAGTTGTGGCAACTGCTGCGGTGCCCTAAAAGCTCTGCGCCTGGTTGTGACTACAGTGGTCATACTCCCCAAGATTTGCCTTTGCATCTAAGACCAGAGGCAATATGCCTCTGTACTGTATTCCAGTTACTGAAGAATGTCCGCCAGCAAGAAGGTATCTAGTTGCTCATTGTGAGAATAGGATGCTGGATTTTAGGATCTATTGGCTCAAAATATCAGGCTCTTCTTTTCTTCTTCTTCTTCTTTGGCGATTACTCATAGCCGAGTAAGATTGTCTTCCATAAACACGGTTTTAACAATGAGTCCGTAAATGACTGTGGAGGCCAATTTTGGCTCCATACGTCCCTCCACAGTGGGGACATTGGTTTCTGGGCAGGGTTTGATCACGGTGTGGATTTGCCAAACGTGCCTTCCTCTTAGCATGTTTCTCCCTTGCGTCCTGAGTTCGAGTGTCCTCAAAGCCCATGACACCTTTGGTAAAGGCTGTTCTCCAACTGGAGTGTTCACAGGCCAGTG